TATCTATCTATCTATCTATCTATCTATCTATCTATCTATCTATATATATGTATATATATATATATATATATATATATATATATATATATATATATATATATATATACTATATACATAATTATTTGTCTAATCCACTCGATATTGTTATATTTACCAGAAGTAAAACCGAAATTCCCCTCTTTTATTTATGACAACTAAGATTTCCTTATCATTAACAGCCGGAAGAATGCTCTTGGGAAAAAAGTCACTTTCATTTTTGGGTTCAATAGGATATATGGAAGCAGAGCTACCTGGTTATATGTACCTTGCTCTCTCTCTCTCTCTTCTCTCTGTTTCTGTCCTTGTCTCTGTCTTTCTGTCTGTCTCTGCCCCTCCCCCCCTCTCTCTCAAGGAATCTTTACACAGGTATAACCATCTCAATAAAAATCCTAGTTGGCAACTTCCTTTCTTCATTGCAAACATTTAATTTTTCTTTTTAGTTTCGTATTCGATATTCTTTTTTTTTTTTTTTAGATTTGTTATCACTGAACCATTTTCAAATGAAATACACTGAAATAACACATACCATAAAATATTGCACAAATTGTTGGGAAAAAAATGGGGTGGAACTAATGACGTCACCACGTTTAGCCAATGAGAGGGTGCCGTGAGATACCAGATATAGCTAGATACATAATTATTTGTCTAATCCACTCGATATTGTTATATTTACCAGAAGTAAAACCGAAATTCCCCTCTTTTATTTATGACAACTAAGATTTCCTTATCATTAACAGCCGGAAGAATGCTCTTGGGAAAAAAGTCACTTTCATTTTTGGGTTCAATAGGATATATGGAAGCAGAGCTACCTGGTTATATGTACCTTGCTCTCTCTCTCTCTCTCTATCTCTCTATCTATCTATCTATCTCTCTATCTATCTATCTATCTATCTCTCTATCTATCTATCTATCTATCTATCTATCTATCTATCTATCTCTCTATCTATCTATCTCTCTATCTATCTATCTATCTATCTATCTATCTATCTATATATATATATATAATATATATATATATATACACACACACACACACGCACACATACATGCATGTATGAATGTATAATTATACATATAAATATGAAACTTTCATGTCAATAGCTGTTCATTATGTAGTATTAAGTGTTAGAATCTGGAAGATATTGATAATGGCAATAATAGTTATGTTTATTCATTGTTATTATCATTATTAACATCATCATCATCATTATCATTAACTTAATCATTACCATTATCATTATCATTATAGTAATAATATTATTATTATCATTAATAACAATAATAGTGATAATAATAATAAAAATTATTATTAACATATTATCATTATGATATTATTAATATTATTGTTATTGTCAATATTATCAATATCACCATCATCAGCATTATCAACAATAATAATTATTATAATCATTAATGTTGTTACAATAACAACAATAATAGTAATGACAATAATAATAGTAACAATAGATGGGTAGGTAGTTAGATAGATAGATGGATAGATAGACAAACAGACAAATAGATAGGTAGATAAATAATCAGACAGCTTGATAGCTAAACAAACAGATAGACACTCAAACGTACAGACAGGCAGTGAAGCTTCCGGCCAAACAAATGAACACAAAGACAGACGCACAAACAGACGAACAAACAAACAAACAAACGCGTGAATAAATAGAGAAAGAAAATCACATATACTTAAATCCAAAACAGGATGTGCAACGCGAATAAAAAAATTTGCACACACTCACCATTGCTCGCGGGAGCTTGCAATCCAGGATATTACAGAAACGCGCTCAGATATACACGTTTCTCGTTTTATTTCAAAATTTGTCAAGTTCAAAAGCTTTTGCATCACATGGTGTCTCGTGTTAAGCTCGAAAGGGGGGGGGGAGGAGAAATTTTCCTCGTGAAGAAAATAGGTGGGTGGGTCCTCGGTCTTTTTTCTTCTCCTTCTTTCGTTTTCTGTGTTATTCTGTTTTCTTTTATTTTCCGTTTCTTGTCGATTTCTTGAGTTTTTTTTTGTCTCATTTTCTTATTTCTTCATCCTGTTTGCCTGTTTATTCCTCTCTCACTTTATTTCGTTCTCTCATTCTTTCTGCCTTTGTCTTTGTCTCACATTCTTCATCTCTCTGGTTCTTATCATCTCTCTCTCTCTCTGGCTGTCTTTTTCTCTCTCGTTTTCACACTCTTGCTCTTTATATCTTTGTCTTTGTCTTGCCTCTTCTTCTGCATCTTTCTGGATCTTATCAGCTCTCTCTCTTTCTCTCTGTTTCTGTCCTTGTCTCTGTCTTTCTGTCTGTCTCTGCCCCTCCCTCCCTCTCTCTCAAGGAATCTTTACACAGGTATAACCATCTCAATAAAAATCCTAGTTGGCAACTTCCTTTCTTCATTGCAAACATTTAATTTTTCTTTTTAGTTTCGTATTCGATATTCTTTCTTTTTTTTTTTAGATTTGTTATCACTGAACCATTTTCAAATGAAATACACTGAAATAACACATACCATAAAATATTGCACAAATTGTTGGGAAAAAAATGGGGTGGAACTAATGACGTCACCACGTTTAGCCAATGAGAGGGTGCCGTGAGATACCAGATATAGCTAGATACATAATTATTTGTCTAATCCACTCGATATTGTTACATTTACCAGAAGTAAAACCGAAATTCCCCTCTTTTATTTATGACAACTAAGGTTTCCTTATCATTAACAGCCGGAAGAATGCTCTTGGGAGAAAAAGTCACTTTCATTTTTGGGTTCAATAGGATATATGGAAGCAGAGCTACCTGGTTATATGTACCTTGCTCTCTCTCTCTCTCTCTCTCTCTCTCTCTCTCTCTCTCTCTCTCTCTCTCTCTCTCTCTCTCTCTTTCCTTACGTTAATGTACATATTTATAAACACACAATACACATGACTCTATTTCCCCCGCCCTGTTTCTCGTGAATCAAAGTTCAAGCCACACCTTTTTTTTTATCATTTTCCAGAATGAAAATGTTACATTTAACCTAACCATTTTCGCTGCAGATTAGCACTTTGTCTCATGGGAATGTTAACACCTGTACGTATTGTCTTTGTCATTTATTATTTATCATTGTATTTATTACGCTCTTGGTTAAACGCTGGTCACCTTTCATTATCATTTATTACCGTTTGATTACGCTCTGATATTTCTGAAAAGCAAGACGAAATCTTTGTTGCACTGATTGAACGCGATTGATCTGACAAGTTTAGCTATCCGTTCTAAGGCATCAGACTTTTTGCAACGCGGGTGTAATTCTAACGTTGACATCGACTGGCATTTTTTTACATTCACTGACATCGACTAACTTCCATTGATATCGAGTGTCATTTTTGACATTCATTGACATCGACTGGCATTTGTTGGCATTCATTGACATCGACTGGCATTCGTTGACGTCCAGTGACATCAACTGGCATTTGTTGACATTCATTGACATCGACTGGCATTTGTCGACATTCATTGACATCGACTGGCATTCGTTGACATTCATTGACATCGACTGGCATTTGTTGACGTCCAGTGATATCGACTAACATTTGTTGACATCCATTGCAAATCAATGACATTTGTTGATTTTCATTAGTATCACTTAACATTTGTCTACATCCAGTGACACCGACTGACATTTTTCTGACATTTGCTGACATCTATTGGCATCGACTAGCATCTATCAGCATTCACTCGTATCCACTGACATTAAGCTGGCATCCGTTAACATCAGTGGATATCTACTGACATCCACCAACATCAATTTAACTTTATATTAAGATAGATACTCATGTTCAAAACAATACCAGAAATAATTTTGCAGAGAGTTAACAAGCAAGAAACAATTTGAATGAAAACAAGTTCCATCTCTTGAAAATAGTCATTAGTCAGACAATATCCAGTTCATTGGTTATCAATTACGCATTTGAAATCGATTAAAGTACATGCAATATTAGCATTTTGTTTGTTTGTTTTGTTTCTTTCTTTTTCTCTGTCTGTCTCTCTCTCTCTCTCTATTCCTCTCTCTCTTTCTCTCTCTTTATCTATCTATCTATCTCTCTATCTATCTATCCATCCATCTATCTATCTATTTACCTATCTACCTATCTCTATCTACCTCTATCTATCTATCTATCACTCTCTTTCTTCCTCTCTTTCTACCCTCTTCCCTCTCTTCCTCCCTTTTTTTTCTTCTTTTTTTTTGCAATCAGACAATCAAATACCGAAGCCTCCGTTTGGCATTAACCTGAGCCATTGCAACCTAATGCAATCTATAAAACAAACCACCAAAATAACCTGCAATATCTTCAGCCCAGCCAACTGCAGAGTGCCGACCACCTGTTGCAAGCTCAATAGCTGAATTACCTGTTGATCGGTAGCTATCTGTTGAATTCCGGCTGCCTGTTGCACCTTCCCCTCTGGTTCGGATACCCTGCCAGATTTTGCAACATTCACGTGGTTTATAAAAGTGTCATGGCTAGTGGTTATGGTGATGGTCATGAGAGTGGTAGGAGTGGTAGTGATAGTAGTGGTGATAACAGTGATAATGATATTGATGACAGCAATGATAGTAAGGATAATAATGATAAGAATAATACTGATAATGATGATGATGATAATAATAATAATAATAATAATAATAATAATAATAATAACGATTCTATAATGATAATAATAACAATATTAATGATAATAATAGTAATAACGATGATAATGATACTACCACCACCACTACTACTGCTACTAATGATGATAATATTAATAAAAAAGATAATGGTGATAATAATAATGATAATGATGATCATAATGATAATAATAGCAGTAATAATAATCACTGCGATAACAAATAAAGACACATTCAAAACAACAGTCACGATAATAAAAATAACAATGAGGTTAAATATTACCATCTGAGTGACGATGAATTAACAAATATAAAATTCTCAGAGAATGAAGGTAAAAGTATATATCTAAAATTTTAATTACCAGACGAAAAATAATGTACGCCGTTTTTCAAAAGGATAATATATTATAATGTGAATCTAACATCGTTGCTAATTACCGCCATCCGTTTAATCCGAGTGCAGATTTTAATGTAATAAACCGCATATACCCTTGCCACCGTGAAACATATATGAATATACATGTGTGTGTGTGTGTGTGTGTGTGTGTGTGTGTGTGTGTGTGTGTGTGTGTGTGTGTGTGTGTGTGTGTGTGTGTGTGTGTGTGTGTGGGTACATATGTTTATGTCTATATCTATATATACACATCTCTCTCTCCCTCTCTCTCTCTATATATATATCTATATATCTATATATCTATATCTATCTATCTATCTATCTATCTATCTATATATATATATATATAGAGAGAGAGAGAGAGACAGAGGGAGGGAGAGAGAGACAGACAATCAGACAGACAGACAGACAGAGATAAAGAAAGAAAAAGAGAGAGAAAGAAAGAAAGAAAAACAGAGAGAAAGAAAGTGCGAGCGATGCATTTAATATATATGCATACATATGTGTGCCCGTTTCATGTATTTCCTTTCTTTTATTATGAACTATGACGAACTAATCCAGGAGATCTGCACTTCCTCTTTGTATCACAGCGCCGTCCTTGCGGCTTATGTGAAATGCACAGTTTGAATAAAAATGAAAGAAAAAAAAAATCATCATACGGTTTAATTTTATTCTTTAATCAACATTTCAATCCTCACTTTGCAATGGTAAAGTAAATGATTTAAAGCCATGATGGAATAAAAGTGATGATTTTATTATTATTATTTTTTTAA